CTGGCGTTGGCGCCGGGAGGTGGCCCTGGGTTGGTAGTTGGCTGCTGTTGCCTTGACCTACCCGGAGAAGACGGAGTCCGCCCACAGCCCATTAGCAGGAGGGCAGGAGCTGTGAGGCCAGGGCTACCCTAGGATCCCTGCAACTGCCACCGGTGGGGGAAAGCCGACCTGCCTGAGAGTGAGCTGTGCTGGGGACAGGGAGGGAGGGCCTCCAGGTTCGAAGACAAACTTGTTTGAGGCAACTATAACGGGAGGAGCTCCAGAGAGAGCATCTACTTTATTTGTTTGTTTGTTTGTTTGTTTGTTTACAAATGGGAGAACAGCGTTCTCCGGGAAAGAGTCACTTCTCCAAGTCACACTCCATTCAGTGGCAGAACCTGGACTAGAAACCGGGTCCGGCTTACCAAGGTTTTTAAGCACACTGTCCTCACCACAGTGGAGATGAATAATAATACAAGTAATTATTATTATAAAAGATTAGGTTTTGGAAATATGGATGGTGCATTCAGGACCATGGCTATGATTTAGTGCCGGAAAACCCAGCCACTCTGTCCTCCTGGTGGAGCTCCTCCTCCCTCATTCATCAACCACTCAGGGGGCAGTTATCTGTGGCAGGCTCTCAGCAGGGGACTGGGGGATAGAGACAAACAGGAACCAGCCCTCCAACTCCAGCAGAAGACACAATTCCCCAGACACCAGGACCTGACGCAGGCGGGGGAAACGCAATGGGCACCTGATACAGGGCTCTGTGCAAACTCGGAGGAAATTCTGGCTGACTGGGGGGAAACTCAGGGAAGGAGTGGCAACTGACCTGATCTCAGAGCGGGCCTTTTGGAACTGGGCAGTGCATTCCAGGTAGGAAGGTTCAGTATGAGCAACCAAACTCCAGGTGAGTGTGAGGAATGAGGAATAGTTTGCTTTGCCTAGAACACAGGGATAAGAAGCTCACAATTACGGAGGGCACAATTGGGGTGTCGGTAGTGGGGAGCTTTGGGGGGATTCCAAGCAGAGAATGACAGTGCAATGGGTGTGGAGGGTCACCCGGTTGGAAGGTGAACCTCAGCTAGAGTGAAGATGTTGGGCCAGGGATCCCTGCAGCTCCGAGCGTCTGTGAATGAGCCAGTCTGGGAGCACAAGGCTTCACGGAGCCATCGCAGTGTAGCCGGGCTGTGGATGAAAAACACCGCTGGAGTGGGAAAGGGTCCAAATTGAACTGGGAGACTGTTGGGCTCTAGGGGTAGCTTGTGATGGTGTTTCTGACTTCCATAGCATTCTTGGGAGTAGTTTGTGAAAAAGTGCTCTTGGTATTCCTGTAACAGAGGTGGCCTCACGGACAGGAGCAGCAGTTAATCAGCCTGTCTCTCTCTGTGCGTTGGGCAGTTACTTTCTTTGATGCATCCCCAGGGACCAACATGGAGCTATAACCAGGGCAGCCTGTTTCGGCAGTTGAAAGGGGAAATTGGCTGTACAAAGATTACAGACCTACCTTCCTGCCATTCTTTATTATAAACTCGTCAAACAATTCTGTGCAGATGAACTGTTCAAAAGAAGTATTTTTACTTTAAAGGTCAGACACACAGTGCAGTAGAGGACTTTATAAATGCATCTTTAATTGGTTCTGTGTTATCACTTATGAAACACTACATTACATACTTGTACGTGAATGAAATGGGTAGGAGGATCCAGGTAAATCAAATTACCCAAACCAGACACGTTATACGCACTTCCCTAAGGTCTATAATGCCTGAGTCTGGGCAAGGCTCTATTGTCATCACCCCCCCCCCCCCCCGCCCACCGGTCAGGTCCTGGTGTCTGGGGAATTGTGTCTTCTGCTAGAGTTGGACGGCTGGTTCCTGTTTGTCTCTATCCCCCAGTCCCCTGCTGAGAGCCTGCCACAGATAACTGCCCCCTGAGTGGTTGATGAATGTTTAGAAACTTCGCACGTTCTTATATGAAATATATATTTTGTGTGCTTTGTGGCTTCTCTATCTGATGGGGTATTTGGGAAGAGGGACAAGATGAAATATAGCAATTCCTTTGGTGAATGATGTTAATCAGGTATAAAACAGAAGCATGCAGTCTGGAATAAGAAGACAGACCTGGAACTGAAATCTAATTCTGTCACTCACTACCTGTGTGACTTTGGGTGTAACACTTAACTCATCTGAGTCTCCGATTCTTCACCTGTAAAATGGTGGTCATAACAATCAGCTGACAGTTGTAGCAGTGTGTGAGGAGGGCTGCAGAAATGTCAGCCAGGGAGGCCGTATAGCGTGCATGGGGAGAAGCAATCAGGATAGGAGCCTGACCTTGGAGGTAGGCTAATCTGAGTCCAGGTGTGGGTTCTGCTCTTTCCTGCTGTGTGATTTTGGATGAGTTCCTGAACTGCTGTGCACATCAGGAAATGATTATATCTATTTTGTGATGTTGATTTGAGGATTACACCTAGCACAGTTTCTGGAAAATAGAATGAGAGAATGTTACAGGTGAAAGGGACCTTAGAAGGCCTCATTACCCTAATGCCCCCTCCCCCCACCCCTGCCATGGAAATTTTATTTTTATCAACCCTGACTGTGCTTAAATATTCCCAGTGACAGAACCTGCTATCTACACAAGGTACTCCATTTCATTGTTGAATCATCTTCAAGGAAAGAAAATATTATTGACATATGGCTTAAAACTGCCTTTGTGTAACTTCCACATATTGGTTCTCTTCTATGCTCTATTTAAAAAAAAAAGCATTGGTCTTTAAAAAAAAATATATATATATATATATACACTTAATTTTGAGGTAAGTGTAGATTCATATGCAGTTGTAAGAAATAATACAGAGAGATTCACTGACCCTTGTCCAGTTTCCTCGATGGTAACAACTTGCAGAATTGCAATACAAAATCACAACCAGGAGATTGACATTGACCCAAAGGAGATGCAGTACATTTCCATCACCACTAGAATCTCTCATGTTGCCTTTTTATAGCCACACCCACTTCCTTCTCATCCCTGGTGATCACTTTTTGTTCTCTATTTCTATAATTTTGTCATTTCGAAAATGTTATACAAATAAAATCATTCATTATGTAACCTTTATCATTGGCTATTTTTCACTCAGCATAGTTCTCTGGAGATTAATCCAGGTCCTTGAAGGTATCAATAGTTTGTTCTTTTTTGTTTCTTAGTAGTAGTATTCCAGAGTATGGCTGTACCACAATTTGTGTAACCATTCACCTATTGAAGGTCATCTAGGTTTTTTCCAGTTTTGGGCTATTATGAATAAGCTGCTATAAATATTTGTGTGAAGATGCGTCTTCATTGTCTTCAGTCTCTGGGGTAAATGGCTAGGAGTGCAGTTTCTGGATCATTTGGAAGAAGGCCTGGGGAGGGCAGGAGCAGGGTGAAGGGGGTTAACAGGGGTGAAAAAGGGGACATCTGTAATACTTTCAACAATAAAGATTTTTAAAAAAAGAAACTGATGGACTTCTTCCAGAGTGACTGTACCATTTTATATTCTCACCAGCAATTACTGAGTGCCCCAGTTATCCTGCATCCTTGCCAGCATTTCGTGGCCAATATTTTTTTTTAAATATATTTTATTGATTTTTTACAGAGAGGAAGGGAGAGGGATAGAGAGTTAGAAACATCGATGAGAGAGAAACATCGATCAGCTGCCTCCTGCACATCCCCCACTGGGGATGTGCCCGAAACCCAGGTACATGCCCTTGACCGGAATCGAACCTGGGACCTTTCAGTCCGCAGGCTGACGCTCTATCCACTGAGCCAAACCGGTTTCAGCAAGGCCAATATTTTTTACTTGAGCTATTGTGATAGGTGTGTAGAGTTACCTCACCATGGTTCTCATCTACATTCCCATAACGGCTAGTGATGTTTAACATGACTTACTTGACATATGTGTCTTCTTTGATAAAATGTGCCTTTGTGTATATTGCTTAAGTTCTAATTATATTCTTTGCTTTCTTATTCCTGAGTTTTGAGAGTTCATTATATGATCTCCATATGAGTCCTTTCTTGGATATATGATTTGTAAATATTTTCTCCCACTCCGTAGTTTGTCTTTTTGTCCATTTCACAGATCTTTTGCAGTGCAAAAGTTTTAAATTTTGAGCACATCCAATTGTCAGTCTTTCCTTTTATGGATAGTACTTTTGGTACCAAGTCTAAGAACTCTGTGCTGACCCTAGATCCTGAGAATTTTCTCCTGTGTGGTTTTTGCTTATGCTTTATAGTTTTACATTTTACATTTAAGTTTATGATCCATTTTGAATCATTTTTTTGTATAAGGTGTGAGACTTAGTTTGAGGTTCGCACCCCCCCTCCCCAGTGAAAGTCCAATTGCTCCAGCAAAATGATGTGTTAAAAATCCTTTGGAAAATAGTATATAACCTTGGGCAAGGCAAATTACCTGCCTGGTTCTGTTTCCTCTGTCTTACAAGTGAGGGGGTTGCATTCGGACTAGATAAGTGTCATTCAGGATCCATTCCTGAAAGTGGAAGGTCTGGGGTCGCAAGAGCCACAGGAGCAGGAATAGTAAGGAGCAGATGGGGCCCCTCCCTGACTTCATCCAGGGCAGGGCTGCTTTTCATGATTAGGTTTTTGAGGGTCTCTCTGATGTTTGATTTGATAAGGGCCCCACTGCTAAAACCAAGCTTGAAGAGCACTGAGTCAGGGAATATCTGAAGTGCCTTTCTAACTGTTCGGTGTCAGAAATCACTTTCCCTTTAATGTTAGCCTTCAGGCTCTTCTCTCCGTTTCTTGAGAATGTACTTATATGAAATGTTTTCCTTGTTATCCTGTCATCCCTCTTTATAAATATGACAGGCTTCATGAAATCAATGAAATTACATTTCATAAACCAGTTTACAAGGTATATGTCGGAATTTAAAATGTGTTAAATATATTAACATTTTGCAGTGGAATCATCCATTCTAAAGAATTATCGTGGCTGAAAGAGAGGATAAGGAGCTAAAATCACATGTAAGCCATGGACCCATCTTTCAACCTTTACAAACAGCCGGCCCTCTCCTACCATACACCTGCCTACCTCTTGCCAGTCCACAAAGCACTTGCAATAGCTTTCAGCCAGTTCATGAAAGGTTATTTGCAACAGCCTGTCTTAGGCTTTCTTATGCCTGCCTTCAAAGTGACGAAACTGAGATTCAGACAATTTGGATGACTTTCCCAAAGTAATAGAACTAGCAAGTAAAAGACCTAAGACAAGAGCTCATATTTTTAACACCTCGTCTAGTTATTCTCCCATATATATATTTTAATCCTCACTCAAGGATATTTTTTCCATTGCTTTTTAGAGAGAGTGGAAATGAGGGACAGAGTAAGGGAGAGAGAAAGAGAGAGAGAAAGAGGGAGAGAGAGGAAGAGAAAGAGAGAGAGAGGAGAGAGAAACATTGAAACATCGATGTGAAAGAGACAAATTGAGTCGTTGCCTCCTGCATGAGCAGCTACTGGGGTAGGGGTTCAAACTTGCAACTCAGGTATGTGCCCTTGACTGGGAATCAAACCCACCACCCTTGGGTGCATAGGCCGAAACTCTAACCACTGAGCCCCACTGGCCAGGGCTCTCCTTTATATTTTATAATGTAAAGATTTCAGTGAGTATTTTCAAAAAGTTGGCATTTTCTATGGTCACTTTAAAAAATATAAAATGGGTTAATAACAAATGAACTTAAATAGTTGTAGTTTTTTTAAAAAATTAAAGAGAGTTAATTGAGATAGTGCATTTGAAAAAAAAAGGTTACACTACAAAGTGCTGTTTAAATGATGGTGGTTATTGTGAGCTTGGCTAGGTCTCTGCATTCTAGCAAGCAGCTGTGTGTGCTTGCTGATTCCTATTCATTGGAAATGTGTTTGTTTATATCATAGTATATTATCTATTTTTCCTTTTAGTACCCACGTGGCCACATTGGGAACTGCCATATTAATAAGGCTCAAACATATTTGATAGGGTGGTTAGACTTAATGATTTCCATAAAGTTGTTTTTAATAGTTATTTTTCAACAGATGGACAGTTTATATGGGCCACGTTCATGTGCCAGTGTGATGATTGAAGTTTTCAACAGATGGCATACAAATACTTGGGAAAACACCCTCCCAATATTAACTGCTGTAAAAAAGACTTTGAGAGTGCCAGGAAAATAATGGTTTGTCTTCTGAGTCCTTAGCTGATGCTATTATGATTATAATTTTGATGATTTGGAAGTTTCCCTTTCTGGCACTTGGATTTATTTTGTAAACGAGTGTACACATCTACATTAGATGATGAGGAACACTTTGTTGTCAATTAGATGTTCAACATGGATTTCACGTTAAATCTCCTTTTGATTTTTGAACGATGTTGGTAACTTCCTCTTGTTGAGTCATTAGACTTCTGTGCCATAGATAGAAATGTTAACCTCCATAAAAATAAACTTAAGAGACATATGTTCTTTCTGAAAAGTATTGATTTTCAAGGAAAAAAAATCTGGTCAAACTTAGACTTTTCAGACATGTTCATCATTATGATGAATTCCCCAACCTTCCAAATTACCCCATTTCAACGCTGACCACCTTGTACTGGTTCTGGAATCAGTAAGTGAGGAATCAGACAGTAAGCAGGGCAATGGGGTGGGGAGGGGAGAAATCTTGGTCATTGTTGTTGTCACAATGACAAAGGGCATTCACTGTTATGCAGTGGGTAGAGGCCAGAGTGCCTAGACAGGCAGAGCATAGTTCGGCACAAGGGGTAAATATCCTGTATCCTATTAGATGCCTGAATATCTGACTAGACACTCATCCAAGCCTAGAACTTATGTCTGCTTAAATTAACTCAAGAGTAAGTTTTGCAATACTGTATTATTTTTTTTTTGCACAGAATATTAGTAGCCTCCCGTACCTCTTTGATTTTATTATGCTGCTATATGAAAGACTTCTCATCGTCTGCTTTTCAATCCTGACTTTTTCATGTTCAGAAAGTGCAAGAACATAGATACTTTATTATGTCTTTTTGTGTAGTTATTTACATAGTAAAACAGATGTTGATATAAATGTCCTTCCCGTTTCTATTCCAAACATGGCATCATATTAATGTTTTTGATAATTTTGTCTGTAGGTAAATAATATTATCTGTAAATTTTTGGACTTAAAGAGAATTATAAGATGCTTATTATAACAAAGGGGCCCTGGGGTTGATCAGGAAGAAAAGCATTGCAACAGACAATTAAGCAATAGCAGACAAAGTCTTTCTCTTCTTGTCCACTTGTGCACACATAGTTCGGTGTTGGAATCATTCAAAGAAGCAGACCAGGGCATGAGTCTAAGTCTTTTTTTATATATATACATATATTTTATTGATTTTTTACAGAGAGGAAGGGAGAGGGATAGAGAGTTAGAAACATCGACCAGCCGCCTCCTGCACACCTCCTACTGGGGATGTGCCCGCAACCAAGGTACATGCCCTTGACCGGAATCGAACCCGGGACCTTTCAGTCCGCAGGCCAACGCTCTATCCACTGAGCCAAACCGGTCTGGCCGTGAGTCTAAGTCTTTAATAAGGAGTGTGATCCCAATAAATTCTGTCTCCCATCGCTTCTATGGAAGTCTTAAACTGATTTTCTTTGGTCAAGTCATGTTGGCTAGATTTTCTTTATGTCTGTCATTACAGATGGCGGTGAGTGACTTTAGTTTGACCTACCCTGGCAACCCCCAGCCAGGGGACTTGATTGAAGTGTTTCGTCCTGGCTATCAGCACTGGGCCCTGTACTTGGGTGATGGTTACGTTATCAACTTAACACCTCTGGGTAAGGTTTGTTTCCAGCAGCTCCTGGGAGCTTTATAGTTTGTTGTTTGTTTGTTTTTTATTACCAGAAAAAATATCATAAAATTAAATAAACTAAAATATAGAAAGCAGATAAATGTAGCTGATCTAGGTTTAGGGAAGAACATTTTAAGACCAAAGTGGCATTGAAGAAATCACAAAGGCCAATTCACATTGAAATGTAAACCTTCTGGTTAAAAAAATAAAAACACAGTTAAAAAGTAAATAATCAGCCGGGAAAAATATTTGGCACAAACATGACAAGAGTCACTGTTTTTTATATAGCATACAGATTAATGATCTCAATTCCTTTAACATCTATTTATAGATTACTCAGTATGTGTCAAATGCTATTCTAGATGCTGGATATACATAAACCAGTCCCTGCATGGTGTAGTTTATATTCTAGAGGAGTTGGGGGGAAGAGAGAGAGAGAGAGAGAGAGAGAGAGAGAGAGAGAGAGAACAGAGCACAATGTTAGAATAAAGATAAGTAAAGGTAAATAATATGAAGAAAATAAATCATAGCAGCAGAAAGGAAGTGGCAGGGGACAGGGGTACTGTGACTGTAAGTGAGGTGGTCGGGAACATCTCATGAGAAGTGACGTTTCTGAACTTGAAGGAGGGGAGAAAACTGAGCAGATTATATTTGGGAAAAGAGTATTTCAGGTCAAGTGGACAGCAAACCCCCCAATCTCCCAAAAAACAATTAGGTGAAGAGTTATGAACAATTTGCAGAAGGAGGAAGCAACAGCTAACACCCATCTTTAAAGGTTTTAACTTTTTAGTCATCTAAGAATTGTCAAATAAAATGACAGATTTTATGCTTATCACATTAGCACAGGTTAAAAATGGCAACAATCATTGTTGATAAGGGTATAATGAAATGAAAACAAAGATATTGCTGATAGAAATATAAGTTTATAAGCTAATTCACGAAAACAATTTAATGAGATGTGCTAAGAGTCTTAAAAGAGTTCTTATGCTCTTACCCTATAATTGTACTTCTACGAACTTGTTCATGGGAAATATCTAAAAGAGATAAATGTAACATTTCTGTATAAGGGTGTTCATGTCTACCTCACTTATAATGGTTTAAAAAAAAATAGACAATGATTTAACATTCAATAGGAAAATGGTTAAACAAATTACTATTTAGCCGCAAAATATTAGGCATCTGTGTTTTGGCAGGATTCTTTAGTTGCAAGTAACAGAAATAAAACTCAAATTAGCTTAAACAAGAAGATAACTCATTGTTTCACTAAGGGAAACTACAGAAAGGGTAAAGATGGTGCTGGCCCCAGGGCTGCCTACAATGAGAGGTTTGAACACTATTAAGGCTCTGTCTAACATCTGTATTTTTTTCTACTTGTTGTCCTCATTCTCTCAGGCTTTGTCTCTCTAAGGAGTGGAACTGATGACCATCAGCATCCTTAGACTCTCATTCTCATAATCTGGTGACCCAACAGAAGAGATAGTTAATCCTTGTCTGTTGCAGTTAGAAGAATCATGGAGAATGACTCTAATTCATCCAGTGGGCATCCCATACCCATTGCTGGACCATCATTATGCCCAGGACAATGGGATGCTTGTTGGCCTACATAAAGTTTTTTCCAGAAAGAAAGAGCAGTGAAGGGATGAGGTGCTAAATAGCCAAAAACTATCTAATCTAATAATAGACAAACATGGTAATTAACCATACCTCCAACACACTTCCCATTGGCTAATCAGGGCGATATGCAAATTAACTGCCAACCAAGATGGTGGCCGGCAGCCAGGCAGCTGAAACGAACCGCACCCCAGTGGGGACCCCCACCCTGAAGGGTGTGTGACCAGCTGCAAACAGCCATCATCCCCTCATCCAGGCTGGCCAGGCACCCCAGTGGGGACCCCCACCCTGAAGGGTGTGTGAGCAGCTGCAAACAGCCATCATCCCCTCATCCAGGCTGGCCAGGCACCCCAGTGGGGACCCCCACCCTGAAGGGTGTGTGACCAGCTGCAAACAGCCATCATCCCCTCATCCAGGCTGGCCAGGCACCCCAGTGGGGACCCCCACCCTGAAGGGGGTGTGACCAGCTGCAAACAGCCATCATCCCCTCATCCAGGCTGGCCAGGCACCCCAGTGGGGACCCCCACCCTGAAGGGGGTGTGACCAGCTGCAAACAGCCATCATCCCCTCATCCAGGCTGGCCAGGCACCCAAGCGGGACCCCCATCCTGATCCAAGACACCCTTCAGGGCAAACCAGCCGGCCCCCACCCGTGCACCACGCCTCTGTCCTATATAGTAAAAGGGTAATATGCAAACTGACCCTAACAGCAGAAGGACTGGGAATGACTGGTTACTATGACACACACTGACCACCAGGGGGCAGACGCTCAATGCAGGAGCTGCCCTCTGGTGGTCAGGGCGCTCTCACATGGGAGGAGCTCTGCTCAGCCACAAGCCAGGCTGATGGCTGCCAGTACAGCGGTGGTGGTGGGAGCCTCTCCTGCCTCTTCAGCAGCGCTAAGGATGTCCAACTGCAGTTTAGGCCTGCTCCCCGCTGGCAAGTGGACATCTCCCGAGGGCTGCCGGGCTGCCAGAGGGATGTTTGATTGCCATCTTAGGCCCAATCCCCCGGGAGCGGGCCTAAGCCATCAGGTGGTCATCTCCTGAGGGGTCCCAGACTGTGAGAGGGCACAGGCCAAGCTGAGGGACCCCTCCTCCCCCTTGAGTGTACAAGTTTTTGTGCACCGGGCCTCTAGTCCTATATAATAAAAGGCTAATATGCAAATCGACTGAACGGCCGAACGACCGGTCGCTATGATGCACACTGGCCACCAGGGGGCAGACGCTCAATGCAGGAGCTGCCCCTTGGTGGTCAGTGCGCTCTCACAGGGGGAGCCCGCTCAGCCAGAAGCCCTGAGCCGGGCTCACAGCTGTCAAGCACAGCGGCAGTGGTGGGAGCCTCTCCCGCCTCCATGGCAGTGCTAAGGATGTCCAACTGCCAGTCGGACATCCCCCGAGAGGGCACAGGTCAGGCTGTGAGACCACCCCTCAGTGCACGAAATTCGTGCACTGGGCCTCTAGTAGCCACTATAAAAGCCATTAAAAAGATCACATTTCTGGACATGTTTAATTGTATGAGAGATGATCCTCACATAATATTTATTTGAAAATTCTAGATTAAAATGTAACATGCAATATAAAACCCAATTTGCAAAACACACACACACATATATATATACACACACACACACACAGATACACACACCCATGAATACACACAGATACATGCACCTTTATATTGTGTTAAAAAAGACTTAAGTACATAAAAATAATAGCAGTTATTTCTAGGTGGCAGGATGGTGGAATATTTATATTTACATGTTTATGCTGTATTTTCTACATGTTTATAAATGAGCACAAATTAATTTATTAGGGAAAATATATGCAGATAAATAACCTGTTGTATTTTTTCCTTAAAAATACCTTTAAAGAAAAGTGTTGATATGGCTAAATCTTACTTTCTTGAAGTAGTTTTTGCGATATTTTGAGATAGTTGCTTTTTGTTCTAGAATATTGGAAATGGAAATGGCAAATAAAATGACATTTATGATACAGAGCTGCTAGTTTCTGCAGAGCTTGGGGATTAACACTTAGCAACTTTTTATGTTATTCCTGCAATGTTCACATCTGGGAAATAATATGAGATTTTGGTGCTGTTTCTTTATTGTCATGTCATAAGTTTCATATTGATGTGGTCCAAACACTGAGCAATGATTATGTAGACTGAAATTCAATTCCCATTTATGTTGTTAACTACTCATGTGATATTTTACAAGTCAATTTAGCTCTCCAAGCATCAATCTCCTCATTTGCAAATTGATTACATCAGACTAGTAAAAAAAAGTTTTATAATTTTAAGTAGAATATGTTGTAAGTGTAAGAACTTTCAATGTGTAAGATTTGGAAATGCTGCTCCAATGAATAGGAGCTTGGTAGATAGAAAAAAGGAGGAGCAGGAAAGAAAGTTTGCTTTCAGTCATTACTAAAAGGAAAAGTTTCTAAGCGGTGGTTATACAGACCTTCCCTCTCATGATTTATTGGAACAATAGCCAAGCAGAGCATCTTGGACAGATGGAGAGGGACTGGAGTCTGGCGGTAGAGCTGAACGCTGAGGAATTGCCTGTCCAGCCTCGGACACTGACTATGACAGGCCAGGATACAAATGTCTCTGGCAGTCTAGGCAAATGCTAACCCATAGAGGCAGCTAAAACGTAGTGACAGGGCATGAGGTGTTATAACAGGTGGGTAAGCCACAGCCTGAGGCCACATGTAGCAGACAGTGCATACTAGGTCAGGTTCAGGTTCAGGACTTAGTTTCTTGGCCAAAGAAACTGACAAAACAAAAGCAGTAAATCCACCTGACCCCAGCTCACCCCTCAGAGGAATGGAGTAACTGCAAATTTCAAATTGGACCCAAATTAAAGCATAGTTGAAAGAATAAGTGTAAAATTGAGGTAAGGATAAGGAATGCCGCTTAGACACCCTACTAATCATAATGCACTACTGCTCAAGCCCAACAATATTAGCTGGGAAGGGCTCACATGCTGAAAAAGAGCCCGCTTTACAGAAAACATGGGCAATGGTCCTATCTGAACTATGTCAGAGACAGGGACCAAGATCTCTAATAAAGCTTCCAAGTGATAAAGAATTTATTACTCAAGAAGGGGTATAGTTTTCTTACCCAATTTACTCTTGGAGAGATGTAAACTTTCCAGTCTTCTTGCATTCTAACTCATACATTATTGAATAAGTGTGTTGTTAAATTATAATGAGTGCTTAGGCTGGTAAGGTAAGTGATTTCTGGTTTGATGATACATTTGGAACAGAGATGGGTTCAGTTATCCCAGCACTTTCAAAGTCTTTAGATGGCATGGAAGTTCACTGGGCAGAGTCACTGCAGCTTGCTAACCAGAATTCTCCTTATAGAGGGTGGCATTCCTGCATCATTTACAAGCGCCAAGTCTGTATTCAGCAGAAAGGCCCTGGTGAAGATGCAGCTCTTGAAGGATGTTGCAGGCAATGACACATATAGAATAAACAATAAATATGATGAAACATACCCCCCTCTCCCCATGGAAGAAGTCATGCAACGGTCAGAGTTTGTTATTGGACAGGAGGTGGAGTATGACGTACTGGTCAACAACTGTGAGCATTTTGTGACTTTGCTTCGCTATGGAGAAGGAGTTTCAGAGCAGGTGAGTTTTCTTTAAGAGATAAGGAGTTTCTTACATTGTGGGAAAAAGGTAACTATTGATTATGAGAAGGTTCCCAGGCCTCATACAAAATGACAAGAACACTGAAGGACCAAGCAGGGAATTGAGCTGTCCAAGGTCACGCAGCAAGTTAATGACCAAACATGGATATTATAAATTTGGGGTAGAAGGGACTTGAAGCAGAATCAAGACCATAGCTTTCTGTTCGTTTATTGCCTTTTGTCTTTTAGTATCCACCCCCCTTCCCCATTACCCCACCATGCAGCAGTCTTAAATCAGTAAGCTTATATACTGAAAATAATATGCTGAAAAGATTGTTGACTTTTTTGAGTGGAAGTTAATTTACCAAAAACAGATGGTAATTCTAATATTCTTTTTTCATTAGCTGACAGAGGCCAACTGATGACATATCTTGGTGGGTTTGTAAATGTTTTCTATCTCTTTGTAATGCTAATTTCAAAGAGATTTTGTGCTTTTAAATAGATTCTTTGATTCATAGAGCTTTTGGATTATTTTTAATGGAGTAATTGACCTTTTTTT